ACCTCCCCACTCTCTTATCCTCCAGCAATTTGCAGCTCAGGGCCTTCCTGATACAGAGGTGTTCTCTTGTATTGAGGAGTGTTTTGTGATTTTTTTTTCTATGCTTTTACCCAGTTTTGGAACCCATGGCCACTGAAGAGTTGATGGTACTGTGAGCAGTGGAGGTCCAGGAGCAAACAGGTTTATGTTTGTGGTAGTCAAGGAACTAATGTAGATCCCCACCTGTGTTTTCGGTAGTTTCCAGCAGGACCACAGGGAAAAAAAAAAAAAAAAAGAAGTAAGCCCTTGTTGAAGAATTTTCACCAGAAAGTGGGTGTCTCTAGGTTTGCTTTATTAACAACTCAGAATTGGGCCATCAGCTCAGTGACTGGCAACTAAGTGTTACAATTGTCACCTTATATATGTTTCTATAACGATTACATGATTATCAAAGTCCATCTAAGGTTTCCACTGTGTTAACAATTCTTCATTCTTCTGGTCAGCAGACAGTTCTTGATTTCCCATCGGTAAACCGGTTCTTTGCATTCTGTTTCAGTTCTTGTTTATTGACCACATAGACCACTTCAACCACTGGTCCGATGCAGGATCATAAAAGACCTCTTATGAATGCTTACCTTACCCTTATTCTCATCTAATGTCTACATCAGTTAAAATGTCTTAATCAGCTGTTCAATTATTCATCTTTTCTTACTACATCTATCTTTATCTACTGATTAACTCGGCTGGGGATTAATCCAGTCATGGGATAGGGCTATACAGGGACAAAATGAGCAGTGTAGCATGGACTTAGGTTAATATAAAACACCTGTAGTTATACAAATCAAGTAATTTATCTTTTCTAGATTACCCTATACAATAACTATTCTTAAATGCACAGTAATATCCAAAGCCTCGATTAACTATTCGCTAACACCCTGGCCAAAAGAGTTTTTGGTCTCTACTCAGCAAGATGCAGCAAAGTGAGACCAAGCAAATATCTGGGAACTGTTACATTGGAAACACTGCTGTCTCAGGACAAGAACATTCACTTTCAATACCCAGACCCAGAGATGAAGTCTTGTATCTCAACAGTTCTCCCAGCTTGTTAGATCCTTACCATAACATACACATTTTCAAAAATTCACTGTGATGGCAGTTGAGATGCGTTTTAGTCTCGAGTTTTTAATGATTGAATTACTTTTATATAACCCTTCTTTATCTATCAGTCTGGGTGGATTTGTAAGGAACGAAATGACATTGTACCAGCCTAATCTTCTCTGACAAGGTTGCAAGGCCATGTGGCTAGAGCAGAAGCAGTCAATGCCAAGTATCCAAACTGTGGTAAGGTCTTCGATTCTGTTTCTACTTATTTCCTGTAGGCAAAGTAGAGATGTGTGGAGTAGATGCTGTAAGTATTGTTGTAAGTATTTTACAAGGGCCATTTGCAGACTGCACACAGAGGATAATTTTTGTGGTCTCCTTCTCCTGTTGGGAGGTTGTATGGAAGGATGCAAGGTGCGCCTGGTCTTGGGCACTGTTTCATTAGTGATCCAAATGACATCATTGTACTGGGTCTGGCTGGGATGGAGTTTAGTTCCTTCGTAACCACCCATACCCTGCTGTGTTGCGGATTTGTGACTAAAACAGTGTTAATGACACATGGGTGTTTTGGTTGTTGATGAGCCGGACTTGTGCACTGCCAAGGCTTTCTCTTTTTCCCATTCTGTCCCCCCCAGCAGCTAGGCCTAGGGTGGGCAAGAGGTTGGGAGGGGACACAACAGGGACAGCTGACCCAGACTAACCAAGGGGATATTCCCAGCCCTACAACATCAGGCTCAGCAATACGAACTGAAGGGAGGGTTTTTGGGGGGAAGTGGGCATTGCTCAGAGACTGTCTCAGCATTGGTCTGCTTGTGGGAGGTGGTGAGTGATTGCCTTTGCATCACTTGTCGGTTGCGTTTCTTTTTCCTCTTTCCTTCAGTTATTAAACTGTCTTTGTCTTGACTCATGGGTTTTCTCACTTTTGTTCTTCTTATTCTCTTCCCCGTCCCTCTGGGGTGGGGACTGAGCAAGTGGCTGTGAGGTGCTTAGGTGCTGACCAGGGTCAGCCACCACAATAATACAGAATAAGGTTATGAAATCAGCAGAAAACACAAAGTTTGGTGTTATTAAAAGCATGCCTGGATACAATTTATGTCTCCATGGTAGCTGGAGATGATTATATGGTTTCTTTCAGCACTATGAAATCTCCTTGGTTAAATGAAGTAAGACTTTAATGACATGAAGAATTATGTCTCCTTCCTAAGCTATCCTAGGCTATAAAGAGCTGTCTTAGTTAAGTTAGGCTCAGCTACATCGTCTGCTTTTGCTGTGGATGAAGAGCATATGCAGATGACAGTGTCGCAGCTGACGTCTAATGGCTTTGGCTGTCTCAGACTCTGTCCATTGGGTCTCACTGCCTCCCTGCATTCGTCCCATGCTATCATCCCATATCAGGGATATCCCTGATATTTAGGTGGTCTCATAGGAAGAGAATAATCCACTACCACTGCAGACTGGAGGCACAGTCAAAATTGACATAGCTCTCTTGATGTGGCTGGATGAGAAGCTGACCCATTATCTTTACCATTTCCCACCTGTCTTGTGGACTAACACTCCAGAGCACTGAAGGAAGGCAGTGCTTCTGGGGTACTGATTCACTCATGCAACTTCAGGGGATCTTTAATTCAGCATGGGTTTTATAACTGTTAGCTGCAGATAGGGCAATTTCCTTTTCAGATTAAGGAAAGGTGCCATAACATAAATGACTGACTGGGTGTCACTGCTGTGTTGTGACAGGCTGTCCTCTAAGAAGTAGTGATTGATGACATGTATAAAACTCAATCATTATATGTGCTGTTTATATTGAAACAGTACTTAAAATATGGGCTGTCAGTCAAAGCACTGATTGCTTACACAGTGCTATAATAAGTGGTGGTGGGTGCAGTGAACAAGGTACCAGCGTAAATGTTTATTTTGGAGCTTCAGACAGCATTGTCTCTTTATTTCCAGCCTGCATCTAGCCATAATAAAAGATCTATCCTATACATTGCCTAAAGCGTGAGACTTCACTGCAGGCTGCTAGGAGCTCTTTGATACCAACATCAATATTAAAACCAGTTTCTGAAACAAGCTGGTGACCTTTTCTTTTTCCCTTTGAGCACAGTTAGAGCAAACCTCAGTGCTCTGTGGCAGCATTTTTCATGGCTGCAGAAGCCTCCAGAGGCCTCGGCTGCAGACCCCTGCTTCTCTGGGCTTTGCAGAGGGTTTGAGGACCCCTCTCAGTAGGTTTCACTGACTGCTGTGGATGCCTTGCAGTGAAGACACAGGACCTGGTCCCAGGTGATATAAACAGAGCCCTGTTTCTGGCCAGCTGGCAAGTCCTGGGGCAAGTCATTTCCAGTGCCTCTGTCTGCAGCTGTGGTATGGAGGTGATGGGATGAACTGTCTTCAGAGTCGCTGGAGATGGTAGAAGGGGAAGCTGCCCAGCTGTGCTCTGACATTTCTGCACCGCATGAAATGTTGCAGGTGGGCTAGGGAAGGAGGCAGGACCACCTTCCTTTCCCTGCTGCCTCACCTGTTAACAGGCTGGCAGGGCAGAGCAGGCACAAGGAGCAAGTGTCTGAGCACTGCTGCAAAGCATGGGTGTGCTACATGGCCTGACATGAGCTTGGCCTGAATGACAGAGATGCCATGGGAACTTCACCTGGTCTCATGCCACTTTGTGGTGTGTATGTTGGGTGGGAAGCACCTGGCGAGTTTTACTATGGCACTGCTGAAAGGACACCAAAATGTATGGTTTTTGCAATGAGAGAGAACAAAAATGAATTTGTTTTTTTCCCCTCTTCCGCTTATTAAGTGGAAGAGAGGAAAAAGAATGATCCATTCACAATTACAGAGAATAGTCAAATCATTGCATTTTTCCTTCTTAGCATTTGCTGTTCATTTTCTAAAACCATTAAGGTTTGTCACATTCATAATGACAGTTCCACCTATGTGCTTGTAAGCTGCATCACGGTACAGATGGATAGTTTGCGAAGAAAACAGTCCTCAAGTACACACATCACTTACATGTAAAAAGCTTTTCCTTTTTATGCTTATCTTATGATCAGTCTGAAAATCAGTTGTCAGTAACAACCATCGTAGCAGTATCATCTGAATATTGTGGTTTGATATGTCTGATTGATTGTAAGGACCTTTGAGTATAGCCTTATAGAGCAATATAAAGTTTTTTCTAGAACTTGATTTTTCTGCAAAGTGGAAAGAAATGGTCATAATTGTACTTCCACTGTCAAGGTACAGCTTGATTATGTAGACAGACTGTATAATGTTTTTCTTCCATATCTTCTGATGTGAACATATTAACTATTTTTTTATTCTTGTACATTTGTGAATTACACATTGCTCTGTAGTACTTTTACCTGCCAACTCCTTTGTTAGGATGTGCTGCATTATTTTGTACTGTACATTTCTGTCCATATTTATTTAGCTCTTTAAAAATGTGTCTGATTAAAGAAAATTTTTACTGTCATAAATATGATGCTTTAGTTATTTTTTGTAGAAAAAATTGGAACCAGTACAACCTCTTGTTTCACAAATGAAGCAATTCAGAATGGCCTTTTTACTCGGACTGGGCCCTGCACACAGCATTGGGATCCACAGAAAAACCTTCTACCTTGCATTTGTTCTAAAAAGCAGATTGCCTCTAATCCCACTGTTTTCCACAAATCTCCATGCACAAAACTGTGCCCCAGTGTCATGAGGAGCTCACTGTGGTTTTGTGCCATACTCTAGTACATATTTGTGAAACTGAAGTTGGCTTTTCAGTCATGTGACAGGTATGTAATGATGTTTTCCAGTGCTCTTTGTGAAACTGATTTTAATTTTTTTTCCTTTTTAAGGAAGTTTGTTTCAAGGAAAAGTGCATCACACAAACTCACTGCCTCTGCTTTCTTTTGTCTTTCCCCTTCTCCCTCTTCCAGACCAGGATGAGAGGGCGGCAGAGCTCAGCAGGGAGCAGAACGAGAAGACCATTCGCAGCACACAGACAGCTCTCCGCAATTTCCGAGAGTTCCTCATCTCCAAGTACCCCTCTGAGACCCGGGAGATCTACGTCATCCCCTGCAAAGAGCTTGATGCCTACCTTGCTTCCTTCTTTGTGGATGCCAGGCAAAAGGATGGGTCTGAATATGAGCCAAACAGTCTGGCTAACTATCAGTGTGGGCTGGAGCGGTATCTCAAAGAGCACAGGTATGGATACAGTATTACGAGGGATAAGGAGTTCAAGAGGTCCCAGGAAGCTCTAAAGCAAAAGCAGATAGAGCTGAGGTGTAAAGGAAAAGGAAACAAGCCACACAAATCCATGAAGCTCACCTTTGCTGATGAGCTTATCCTGCGCAAAAGAGGCTTATTGAGCCGGTACAATCCCGAAGGGCTGCTGAAC